TGCCAGGACTCTCAGTATGCCCCTGCCAGTTCCTGTTTATGCAACATTAGAGTGCCTCAGAGTGCGTGCTTTAGACTGTTCTCTTCCACCCATTAATTCCTGTGATTCTCTTTGCAGGACAAGAAGCATTCTGACAGCATATCATTCTTTTTCCAGGGAAAAATGAACAGTGATACTCACAGCCTGCACTTGGAGCTGCAGGTCATTTTTCTCCTGCACCAAGGCCACCATTTTCTCCTCAAGCTCCTTCCGCTTTGCCTCAGACTTTGCAAGCTCTTCCTTGGTTTTCTCAAATTCTTCCTTCATGCTGGCCATTTCCTTCTCAGACTCTGCACTCTTCAGCAGGGGCTTGATCTTGAAGAACAGCTTCATCCATGGCCAGTGTTTGACATTCATGAATGAGCGAACATTGTACTGGATGCAGAAGATGGATTCTCTGAAATTAGATTCACACAGTTATTACATGGCTTTGGTGTGATTTATTTAAATTTCATCAATAAAGTTCCATGAAGCTTAACTAATTATGACAAATATCTACCTCCGTTCCACCATTTTCTTATACTCCACTCTCATCAGGAAGCCTCTGCACCTGGCTTGTGTGCGAGTGATGATTTCTGCCAACTTGTCATCTCTCATCTCCTCCAGGAGTCCCAGCAACCCAGCTTTGAAGAACACCTTGAGAAAGTAAGTGTTGCACCATGTCATTGTGATGTAGGATAGAACAGAAGCACAGTCATTCAGATTGCTGAAAGACTTAAATGGCCATGATCAGTATCACCTTGGGCCCTCTCCCAAATCCTCTGTCCAAGGGCTTAGGACTTCCCATCATCTCAGCCACTCCTATGCCTGGTCATGGACACCGGTGAGCTCTACAATGTCCTATTAATTCCTGACTTGATATTAGACCAATCTCACTGTGGTGTATATATCCAAGAATTAATGACTAGGGCCTTGCCTTTTTAGCTTTCTTATGTCTGACCCTGACAAATCTTGAAAAACAAGGTTTTATGGCTTCAACCTAGACCATTCTTATTGTAACAAACTTGACCGATGGTGTGGAACACAGGTCTGGTTTTTACCTTGGTGTGACCAAATTTGTACTGGGTATGGTCAACATCAATGGACCCAAGGAGCTTCTCTGAAGCCTTCTTGTTGTCCATGAACTGTCCCTCTGGGATAGCACTGGCATTAAGTACTCTGTATCTACAAGAAACAAAATATGAAGAAATCACAATCATTGAAACCACTACCAGAGCATTTCAAACTGCACTACTGAACCAATCTCATGCCTAGAGACAGTTCACCCTCTCAGGAAAGGACATGGGAAACGTTTTTAATAGTAATTCTAAGTGCAAAACAATTCTGATCTCAGCACTGCCACATTATCATGAATTGATGGTGAAACATCTATATTCATGATAAGCACCAATTTAAAATAAAAAGTTCAGAGTATATTATAATCATCAGGCTCTTTGGCTTGGTCTGAATTGGCAGAAAGG